CCTAGATATCTAGATCTAGATTCTCCTACTTTTACACAATGACTTAGATCTATATCAATTCGTCTTAACCGATGAGTATTTTTTAAAAACATTTGTACACATCTATAGGTTCTATATTATTCTAGAAATTTCTTTAAAGAAAATTCTTTAATAAATACTAGCCCAATATTTTTTTAAAAATCCCAGTCATGGTTTCTACAGATTTTTAAAAGGTTTTTAGCTGGAGGTAAATCTCTTTTAAAAGCAAGTCCGTCCTTTTTTCTACTTCTGCTGGCGACAAAGTTAATTATTGAACGCATGTTTTGAGAACATTAATTAGATCTAGTGAAAAAATATGTTCAGTGTAAAACAAATTTCTTGTAACAAGTTTTGCTACTAAAAAATTACGTAGGCTATATGCGTATGCAAAATGTGTGTGGGAAGCTAGAAGTGCTGTGAACAATCCCATCCGTGTTACGAATTTTTTCACAGTTCTGTAGATCTTATATTTATAAACTCTCCATGTCTGCTGTTTCTGTTGTTGCACCCAAAAACACAACAATTTAAAACCTTATTTCTAATCTCTAGTTGCACAGTGAATTCTGTAACTCAAATTTACAAACTGTACAGTAAATGTTCCACTTTTCACTCGTTTGTAAAAGCCGCCCTTGCTTTAAAAGCTATAGGGTTACTTCCGAAAACGATAAATCGTGCCCTCAAGACGCCATTGTTTTCGGTCTTCAATTCCTCACAGGTCACGTGGTACAGTTCCCGTTCTATAAGTGTAGAATTCTGTGGCAGACAGTGACCAATGTGGACAGTCGGCGGTGACCAATGTGGACAGTCGGCGGTGACCTTGCAGTGGACAGTCGGCGGTGACCAATGTGGACAGTACCAATGTGGACAGTCGGCGGTGACCAATGTGGACAGTACCAATGTGGACAGTCGGCGGTGACCTTGCAGTGGACAGTCGGCGGTGACCAATGTGGACAGTACCAATGTGGACAGTCGGCGGTGACCTTGCAGTGGACAGTCGGCGGTGACCAATGTGGACAGTACCAATGTGGACAGTCGGTGGTGACCAATGTGGACAGTACCAATGTGGACAGTCGGCGGTGACCAATGTGGACAGTCGGCGGTGACCAATGTGGACAGTGGGCGGTGATCAACGTGGACAGTGGGCGGTGACCAATGTGGACAGTCGGCGGTGACCAATGTGGACAGTGGGCGGTGACCAATGTGGACTGACGTGGCTGTGGTGACCAATGTGGACTGACGTGGCTGTGGTGACCAATGTGGACTGACGTGGCTGTGGTGAACGGAAAAAAAAGAAAGTCCACGGGTTTTGTTTGGGTTTTTCACTTTCACTTTGAGCGACCTGTTTTTTAATTTTATTTTATTGTAGTAGAGGGTTTTACGGCGCTCGCAACTGCATAAGGTCTTATGAGACCGAAGGGGTGGGCATGGCTGCCTAAATCTACAGATTTTTCCGGTAGATACCGATTTTGGGCCTGTTCTACCGACATACCGATAAGGTGTCAAAACTACCGGATTTTCGATGGGTACCGAGAGAAAAAAACAAACAAACAAAACCCAGAGAGAGAGAGAGAGAGAGAGAGAGAGAGAGAGAGAGAGAGAGAGAGAGAGAGAGAAGCACTTGCCTCCGTAACTCGTCAGATATTTATGGCAACTCTCGGCAATAAGTTGTAATAGAAACTGTCAGATCACGCATTTCGTACTCTCCACCATTGTCTATCTGTACCGTTCGGTCGGTAATAGTTTTTCACGTGCATATCGGCTGAAATCTGTCTACTCACGATAGATAATCTTGCTCCTTCTTTACATTCATTCATTCTTTCTGTCTATCTTCAGTTTTTTGCTGCGGCTGGAAAATCTGTGCATTTAATTCATTTATCCAGAAAACAGAATTGTGAATATAGAAGGAAAATCGGTATCCAAGCAAAACATTCTAAAATCTGTCTTGGTCTAGAGAATTGCTCAGTACCAAATAAGGATTCTAGGCAGGGGGG